TCCTTTATTGTGTCAATCTACCTGTTTGAGGGTGTTCCTCTCTGTTGCTGATCCTCTACATTTCTCAGCATAATGTCTTTTTCCAAGAACTAGCCCCTCCTGAGAACATGCCCAAAGTATGAGACAAAGTTTCACTATCCTTAACCTTAGACCTATGAAACACCCTGGCTGCATTTCCCCCATGATGTTGTTGTTGTTGTTATGTGCCGCCGAGTCGCTTGCGACTCATAGCGACCCTGTGTACAACAGCCCTAAACCCTGCTCTATCCTGTGCCAATCACACTGCCTCTGACATACCCATCCCAATTACACCTGTCACTGAATCAATCCACCTCATAGAGAGTCTTTCCCTCTTGCGCCATCTCTCCACCTCCCAAGCATGATGTCCCTGTCCAAGGATTGATCCCTCCTTACAACATGTCCAAAGTATGTCAGACAAAGCCTCAGAATCCTTGCCTCCAAGGAGCAGCCCGGTTTAACCCTCTCCAGGAGGAATCTGTTTGTTTTCTTGGCAGTCCATGGTGCCCTCAATACTCTTCTCCAGCACCATAGCTCAAAGGCACCAATTCTCTATCCTCCCTAGTCATTGTCCAACTCTCTGATGCATAACAAGTGACACCATTGCTCTTCAGTACCCTGGAGAAGTCCCTAACAGCAGACTTTCCCATTGCAATATGTTTTTTGTTTTGTTTTGTTTTGTTTTTACTTCCTGGCTGCTGGTGCCAAGAGTGTTGACCGTGGAGCCAAGCAAACTAAAGTTGTTAACAATCTCAATCTCTTCACCATCCATCCTGATACTGCCAATTGGTCCAGTGGTGAGAATCTTTGTCTTCTTGACATTGAGCCTCAATTCACACTGAAGGCTGCAGTCCTTAACCCTCTGCAGCAAGTGCATCAGGTCCTCCTCACTCCTCAGTTTCAGCAAGCTGGGTTGTGTCATCTGCATAACACAGATTGTTAATAAACCTTCCACCAACCCTGACGCCACACTTCTCCTCATAGAGCCCAGCCTCTTGGATAATCTGTTCTGCATACAGGTTGAAAAGGTATGGAGATAGGACACATCCCTGGCAAACCCTTTTCCAATTTTAAACCGTGCAGTTTCCCCCTGCTCTTTTCAGACGACTGCCTCTTGGTCCAAGTATAGGTTTCGCATTAGCATGATCAAGTGTTCTGGGATTCCCATTCTTCTCAGAGTCAACCACAGCTTGTTATGATCCACACAGTCAAACACCTTTGCCTAATAAATGAAACACAGATATACATTCTTCTGGTATTCCTTGCTTTCAGCTAAGATCCATCTAACATCAGCTACAATTTCCCTAGTACCAGGACCCCTTCTAAACCCAGCCTGGACTTCTGGCAGTTCTCTGCTGATGTGCTGTTCCAGTCATTTTTGGATAATCTTCTGTAGAATCTTGCTTACATGTGAAATCAATGATATTGTTCTATAGTTTCCACACTCTGTTGGGTCACCCTTCTTTGGAACAGGAGCAATATAGATCTCTCCCAGTCAGTTGGCCAAGTGGTTGTTGTCCAGATTTCTTGGCACAACTTGGTGAGCACATCCAGGGCAGCATCTGTTAGCTGAAATATGTCAATTGGTATACCATCTATTCCTGGGGCCTTGTCTTTTGCTATTTCCTTCAAAGAAGCTTAAACTTCTTCCTTCATCACCATAGGCACTTGCTCATATGTTGTTTCATTAATTTCTTTTGTGTCTGCCAATTCCTTTTGATACAGTGACTCAGTATATTCTTTCCATCTTCTTTTAATACTTACTGGATAATTTAATATTCTGCCTAATGCATCCTTGATTATAGCAACTTGAGGTATGAATTTATTCTTCAGTTCCTTGAGCTTAAGAAATGCTGAGTGAGTTTGGCCCTTTTGATTTTCTGACTCTAGCGCCTTGCACATTTCATTGTAATATTTTGCTTTGTCATCCTGTGCTGCCTTTTGGAATCTCCTATTCAACTCTTTAGTATCTTGAATTCTTCCTTGTGCTTTGGCTTCTCTGTGCTCCAGTGCAATCTTCAGAGTTTCTTCTGACATCCATTTTGGGCTTTGTAATGAGCGTTTGCACTCTTCCTGGATGATACACTTGACATCCTCCCACAACTCATTAGGTATACGCTCATTAGTGTTCAAGCCCTCAAACCTGTTCCTGAAATGTTTCTGAAATTCAGATGGGATGAACTCAAAGTCACGTTTTGTTTCCTGTGGACTCGGTTTCATTTTCCTCAGCTTCAGCTTGAACTTGCATATGAATAGTTGATGGTCATTTCCACAATCAGCTCCTGGCCTAGTTTTCACAGCTGATACTGAGCTTCTCCAGTGGTTCTTTCTACAGATGTAATCGGTCTGATTCCTACACATACTACCAGGTGAAATCTATGTGTATGACCTGCATTTATGTTTCTTATAAAATGTATTGCAATGAATAAGTTATTGATTGTGCAAAATTCAATCATTCTATCTCCAGCTTCATTTCTGTCACCAAGTCCATGTTTTCCAACTATTGATTCTTATTCTCTGTTCCCAACTTTTGCATCCCAGTCACCCATTGTTATCAGTGCATCTTGATTGCATGTCTGATCGATGCCTGACTGTAAAAGTTGGTAGAAATCATCTATTTCTTCTTCTTCTTTGGCTCTGGTTGTTGGTGCATATATCTGAATGATAGCGGTATTCACTGTAAGTGTATGGATATTATCCTGTCACTCACAATGTTGTACTTCACGACAGATCTAGAAATTACTTTTTTAATTATGAAAGCAACCCCATTTTTTCTCACCTTTTCATCTCCGGAGTTATTTATCATATGATCATCTGACTCAAAATGCCCCATGCCGGCCCATCTCATATCTCCAATGCCTAGTATGTCAATACTTCTGCGTTCCATTTCTTTCTTAACAACTTCTAATTTTCCTATATTTCTGGTTCTCACATTCCGTGTTCTAATCACTAGTGTCTGCTTACAACTGTTCCTCTTCCTTTGTATTTCCATACTTGAAAGTTCTACCTCAATTACCCTCTCTGTTAGTCTATGTATATTCTGTTATAAATAGACTTTTCAGAGGCCTGCCATTTCAGAAGTGGATGGCCAATCCTTCTTCCTAGTCTGTCTTAGTCTGAATATTCAGATTTAAGGAGTATCTGACGGACAAGCAATTTATAGAGCAGTGAAAGATAAATCCCTCATTGTGGAGTTAACCATTCGTTACAGTGTTGTTCCTGCCCTTGGCCCAGTGTCTTGACCCACTTATTTCCCAGCTCCACCCTCCACCAGGATACCCCTTCACTTCTACCAAGTCCCTTCAGCATTTTTCTTCCATTGTCCAACCCTTGATCTGACAGCTTGTATCTGAAGCTTTCTTGGCTTCTGTGATTCCAAACACGTCAACTGCTAACAATTTCTTATGCTGTGACCAGTGTCTCTTAAGTTTAGTGGTAAAGTCTCCAAAGGGAGGGTGATGTGTCCTGTAGAACTGGTATATAGATTGTATTTTTCTTCTTGGTCTGAGTAGATCTGTTTATTCTTTTGGCAGTCCATTAGAACACCACAATTCAAAGCATCAATTCTTTAGTTTTCCTTGTATACTGACTAATTTTCACATGACTATGAAGCAATGAAAACACCATTACTTGGATCAGGTGTACCTTAGACTTATACTGATATCCTTGTTTTTTGGAGAGGTCCTTACAGCAGAATTCTCCAATGCGCCATGTCTTTTGATTTTTTCACTGCTGTAACTGTAACATGAAATTTTTCAAATAAAATAAAATTGTTGACAACATCAGCCTTTTCTCCTTCTATCATGATAGTGCCTATTGGCCGAGTTCTGGGAAATTTTTTCTTGATACTCCACATTGAAGGTCTTCTTCGGTAAATTCTATTCACTTGGTGAAAACAAGGTTGTGTTAGCTATATAACATAACTTGTTGATTCATACTCAAAATGGCCAAGAGAAGAATATAGGCCACATTTCCAAACAAGCCCCAGTGTCAGAACAAGCTGATGATATAACCTGCAACTATGAGCTTCACCGGCAACCAGGAAGACTTGAGGGCCTCCCAGATCTCCCGTTGTCAGTCACCTAAACCCTTAAATGTCTTGTAGAAACAAGATTTGCCATATATAGAATAGTCCACACTAGAACTGGGCTTTTCTGTTAGCAAGCACCTGAGACTGGAAAGCTGCCCTGGAAGTTTTCACTTGCCCCTGCAAAGCTTGGTCTACAAGGTCACCCTTGGGAACCCTGGTTTCATCCTAAAAAAAAAAGGTGTGAATTCTCCTGGGGGAAACAGTCCTCACTCACCTTGTAGACTCCACCGGTGACCCCTCAACAAGAGTCTGGCTTGGATGGATGGAGAAAGAATGGTCTAAAGTTCCCAAGAAGGGGTTCTTAAACGCCCCTGACCAGCTGCACCCTCGCCACCAGCTTCCTCTTTGTCTGTTGATGTTAACCTCAAAGTCTGTAGGGACACAGTCCCTGGAACCATTCTTGATGTCCACTGTTCCACTCATTCCTTCACAGGTACATAAAACTCTTGGGTTGGAGTCTCCACCCTACCAGAACGTAGGGACCTTTGCAGTTTAATTTTCCAGTGCCTGCTCTCTAATCCCCGGGGAAAGGCATATTATCCGGTTCACTTATTAGGTGGAGGTTAAAGTCTCCCTGGTCCAGCGATCCAGGCTGAGACAGGGCCTCTACCCAGGACCCCGCCCTCCACCAGCTGAAAGCTGGCCTCCACCTGGCGCCGCCACTCACTAATTGGTCTCATTAAGTTGCCTGACGAGTGCTCCAGAGGCTCAGACTCAAGCAGTGTCTGTCATCCGCTTAGCGCCCCGGCACCACCTGGGGCTGCGCCCTGTGCAACACCCCCATAAACCTCTCCCCGCCGTCACCCCACGCCTCCTCCGCCGTCCCACGGTCACTGTGGTCGGGCACGCTGGGTAGGAGCGCGCTCGATCTAGGCGCGCTTACTTAGGAGCAATGCAGTGTGTCCCCACGCTACTCCTGGCGCTGCTTCGCCTCTGTTTGGGTGAGTGGCCAATGCGAATCTGAGGGAGGGGGAGGAGGAGGGAGGGGCAGGAGCCTTCTATCTGGTGGGGTCGGGGCTGTGTGCGTCCAGACTGTTCCCAGCCCAGCTTCCACTTCAGGAAATGCGCGCTCCTGAGCGCTTCTGCTGCCACTAGTGCCGGAGACCCCATTACCTACCCAGGCAGGGTGGTATGGCTCCATGGGGTAGGAGCGCGAGTCTGGTTGCCACCTGCTTGTCTATGATTTTAGGGATTGTGGGGAGCACTATCTCTTCCCTGTCAGTTGAAGGGAGTGGGGTTGGTTCCTGCTGGGCTTCTAGCATCCAAATGGTGTGACCCGGACCTGCCTGGACTCCAAGTTACTAAAGCGAGTGGTGAGTGGGAGAACCTCTCCAAGGCGCTCTAGCAGCTCCTAGTATGCTCAGGCCACGGAAACCAAGAGCTTGCCTCTTCAGCAGTGAGCCATCGCGAAACTGACGTTCCAATATCAGTGTCCATCAGTCTTTTTATCTGTCTTCTTTTCCAAGCCCAGGCCAACTTCGCCCCCCATTTCTTCGACAACGGGATAGGCAGCACCCACGGAAACATGGCGCTGTTCAGTCTCCCGGAGGACACCCCTGTAGGTCAGTAGCGCTGGCAGCAATCCTCATGAGTTCACAGACATAGGGACCCACCCAGCTGTGACTCCCAAAACCTGTGCAGCGAGGGGCCAAGCACTCCCATGGGGCACCTTGTTTGCGCTAAGAATCCCTGAGGCCATAGTAGAAAAAAGAAACCAAAGTTGCCATGGCAACCCAGGCCCTAGGAGGCTGGCAGCCCTCCCCTACTGGCCTTGAACACTGACCAGGACTATAAAGAGACACAGATTTGCAAGTCCTTTCTCCATCCCCAGAGGAAAAGTCTTAGGGGCTACCCTCCTCTCAGTATCTTCTGTCTTAATGTTGTTGCCATTTGCACTTGCCTCTGGTACCCTGGAAGCCCTAAGAAAAGTCTCAGGAGGGAGTCATTCAGGACAAAGGGAAAAATGGGCACTGGAGTCAAGGGACCCAGGATCCAGATCTTCTCTGTAATCTACACTGTGTGGAAAAGACATGACGCTGGAGGGTCAGCAAGAGAGAGGAAGGACCCTCAACAAGGTGACTGTAACAAAAGGCCCAGACATAATAGAGATGATGAGGATGGCACAGAAGAGGGCAAGGTTCAGATATGTGGTGCATAGGAGTTCCCTGAGTCACAGCACACCTAACAGCAATGATTGCAGCCTGAAAACATCAAACATCGTGCTACAACATCTCATTGTGACAGGAGATCACAGGACTGGGAAATTACTTACAAGTCTGAGCTTCACTGCCCCTCCCCAGGGTAGTAGTGAGGCTACCAAAGAGTGAGTTTATTGCTGGGCAGGGTGGGGCAAGCTGAAATATGCAGATCTTCCTATGGACCCCTTTTCAGAAAACAGGTCCCAGGACTTAGGCCTCTCCCTGTGTCCCCCTCCAGGGTCTCATGTATACACACTGAATGGGACTGACCCCGAGGGAGACCCCATCTCCTATCACATCAACTTTGATCCCAGCACCAGAAGCATCTTTTCCATTGATTCCAATTATGGAAACATCACTCTGATTGAAGAGCTGGACCGGGAGGTAGGAGAGGGGGAGGCAGCAGAACAGCCCTGACTTGCATATGGAAACTCTGGCTGGATGGGCCCTGACAAGTGCTGGACTACTATAAGGAAGCTAAGTGAGCCTCTGAAGGGAGGTAGGACTTTCCAAACCTGCCAGACCCTTCAGAGAGATTTGTAAACTGCTTTCTCCTTAGCGTTGGAGACTGGACTTTCAGAGTGCACAGTGGCACTACCTTAAAGAGCAGCTGATTCTGCTGATTTTTCAAACCACAAACTCCTTAAAGTCAAGTCCAAACCTCATTAGTGGACCCTTCTTTGGGCTTTCAGAGGTGTAATTTGCACGGAAGGAGTCTACTCATTTGCCCATCTTCCCCACTCCACCACCACTCCTATCCCAGAGCAGCTGGTGGATTGGAATGGCTTGCCTTTGGGTTGGCAGCACATCTCCTTCCCAAAACAAGCCTCCATGTTCAGTTAAAAATATATTTTATTTCCACTTTACCTTTCAGATGTGTCAAAAGATGATAATTTTTTTCAACCTGTACAGTAGCCCACAGTAAACTCATCAGGAATGGGTCTGGGTTTGATAACATTTCTCCCTTCTGAGCCCAGGAGCTGCTTGCCTCTTGGTGTCCCATGTAACATCTGTGGGCCTTGCTGTCCACATCTGGGGTCTTAGTTGTGGCACATCCAATATTCCAGGATGTTGCAGAAGCACAACCTCAGACCTGACTGGTCTCAGAGCAAGTTGCAGGGGGTATGTAATCCAACCGCACCCCTTTGGCACCATGGGGATGTGGTGGACTCCAGCACCCATCAGCACATTCATGGGAAGACTTGGGGCATTACAGGGCTGGGCCTCTACAGACCTCAGGACAAAAGAGTTGGAGGGAGGAGATAAGCTCCCTCTTCACTCCAGCAGGTGAGTGTTTCCTGCGGGAGCCTCAGCATCACTCAGGGTTTATGAGAGGCCCCTGAGGAATAGGGTGGGAAGCTGCTCAGGGGCCATGTCCTGCATGTTGTCATCATCAGCCCACACTACTCTGAAGCTTAGTGACAGGCACAGTGGGGAAGAGAGCTCAGAGTCTCAACTTAGAGTCAGGACTGTGGATATTTGCTGTCTTTGTGTTTCCAGACAGAAGACGAGATTGAAGCCATCATCAGCATCTCTGATGGCCTGAATCAGGTGTGTGCAGAACTGAGCCATCCCCTGGTAACCAATAGGCCCTGAGCCCAGCCCTAGCCCAAGCCCCTCTAGGAGCTCTGTGATAAACCAATGTCAGGGCCCAACAATACCTACCCTAGAAATCCCAAAGGAGGGGATCCAGAAGGCCATAAGAGAAATAGGAAGGAAAGGAAAAGAAATAGGGAGACCAGTGTGCTTCCTCAGATCCCAGATGCATTCTTTACCCAAACTCCGTTCTCTTTCACCTCTTTCCCCAGCCCCAACCCCTTCTTCCTCATCTTCTCCCCTAGCCCTCTAAAATCTGTTCAGGAATCACTGCAGTACACATCTTTAAGGGCTCTTCTGCCCCTCTCCAATCTATTTTCTCCTATTGCCCAAACCAAGGAGATGACACAGACTCTGGTGGCTAGTGATAAGAAACTGTGCTGTAACTCCAAAGGCATTAAGTTCTAATCCACCAGCTACTATGCGGGAGAAGGATGGATAATCCCTTTCCATGTGATCTACTGTCTCTGAAAACCACTGGAGGGTCAGCTATGGAGTGGTTCCTACTCAACGGTACACCACCAGCACAGCAATGGCACCAGGGCTATCATTGAAGATGCCAGATGAACCCTAGCTGAAAACAGAGACTACCAAAGGATGTCTGTTTGTGTTTTATTGACTTTACAAAGGCATTTGACTTGACTGTGGATCATAACAAATGTTTACTAACATTGAGAGGAATGAGAATTCCAGAGCACTTAATAGTGCTCATGCAAAACTTATACCAAGAAACTGTTGTCTGAACAGAACAAGGGAACACTGCATGATTTAAAATTAAGAAAGGTGTGCATCAGGGCTGTATCCTTTCTCCATACTGTGTGCTAAGCAAATCTTAATCTGTGTGCTGAGCAAATAATTTGAGAAGCTGGACTTTGTGAGAAAGAATATGGCATCAGGATTGGAGAAAGACTAATTAATAATATGTGCTATGCAGATGACATAATTTTGCTTGCTTAAAATGAATAATTGAAACATTTGTTGCAGAAGATCAAAGACTATAAACTTTCAATATGGATTACATCTTAATGTCTGGAAACAAAAATCCTCACCACTGGGCCAATAATTGGGCAACATCATGACAGATGGAGAAAAGACTGAAGCTGTCAAGGATATTATCTTGCTTGGATTCACGATCTACACCCTAGGATCCAGAAGTCAAGAAGTCAAAAGACATATTGTATTGGGTAAATCTGCTGTCAAGGACCACTCTAAGGTGTTAAGGAGCAATGATGCCAGTTTAAAGACTAGGGAGCATCTGAGTCAAGCCATGGTCTTTTCATTTACTTGTTATTTTCAGTTATTTGTTATCTGAAAGTTAGATAATATCTGAGGATGACCGAAGAACTGATAGCTTTGAATTGTGGTTTTTGAGAAGAGTACTGAATATCCTAGGGACTGCCAAAAGGATAGTTTGTCTTGCAGAGGGTACAGGCATAGAGATCCTTAGAGGCAAGAACGGTTAAGTTTCGTTTCACATATTTGGGTGTGTTATTAGGAAGAACCATTTCTTAGAAAAGGATATCATGCATGGAAAGATGGAGTGTCAGTGAAAGAGAGGAAGATCCTGAACAAGATGGATCGACACAGTGACCGTAACAACAGACTCAAGTATATCAGAGATTGTGAGGATAGTGTAGGGTAGAGAAAGGTTCAGATCCATTGTTTGTAGTATTGTTCATTGTTCCTACTATGAATTGTAGTGGACTTGAAGTCACTAACAACAATAACAAAAACAAGCTCAAAATAGGGAGTTCTGATAGCCTAGTGTAATAGGGAGTTGAGTTGCTGACCCAAAGGCAGGCTGCTCAAATCCACCTCATTTGTTCACCAAGATGAGCAATCTGTGGTGTGTTAAGTGTCATGAAGTGGGAGCTGAGGCATAGCTGACCCTCCAGCAGCTTTTAGAAGCAGCAAGCTGCAGGGAGAAGACTGCCCATCTTTCTCCCACAGAGTAGCTGGTAAATTTGAACTCCATGTCTTCGGGTTGGGAACACAGTTTCTTCTCATTAGACCACCACAGCTCCCTCTGGAAACACATTGGAGGGTCAGCTATGGGGAAATTCTGACTCTACAGCAATTATTTAAGTTTAGGCTCAAAAAGTACTGACAAGTGGCTCCGTCATCCTCAGACTGAAACCCAGGCTTCGATCTAGACATCACTGGGCACTTCTCATCCTCCCCCACTCTTTGTCCCATCCACCTCCCAGCCCCCTGTGTATCTACTGCCATGTCCCATGCCTGCCATACTTCCCATTCCTCTCTGCCTGCAACTCCTCTCCATGTTGTTGCATCTGAGAACAGCACCAGACTTGTTGCCTAAGACCTATGTGGAGTGTCATGGTCTCCACAAGCTGAGGTGCATGCCCCTCTCTAGCCTTCAAAGACAGCCCCCTCACAGACCCCTGTACACACATACAGAGATCCATTTGCTCAGGCCATGGTGTCCACAGAGCCTGCCCACATAGCTTATCATCAGGCTTCTGTGACACTATCACACTTGTCTTTACCCCTCCTTCCAAGCAACCACCATCCCTGCAAAATGCATGCTATTCCATCTCTTGCACTGCCAAGACTGAGCACCATTTCAGCATCAGACAGTTATTTGGTAGTGTTTTGTCATGAATGGATAAAAAGAGAGAAAGAAGAGATGAGCAAAGACACATATCTGAGAGCATTAGAGGGTGATGCTCCTTTTTTCCTTCAACCTTGTCCTTCTGTCCCATCTCAGGTAGCAGAGAAAATCATGATCCTAGTAACTGATGCCAATGATGAGGCACCCAGGTTCATCCATGAGCCCTATGTCATACTGGTCCCTGAGGTGAGTAAGGTAGATGCACCCCTCAGGTGCAACAGCCAAGAGTACACACCCTCTGTCATTTATCCCCTGGAAGGGACAACTCCTCTTTCCAGGCTCTGTCTCTTCCCTACTCCTTGCTGTCACCACCTCCACACATAATCATTAGTGTCCCAAAGGAATCTCTGTTTACTAGTCCCTGTTAGAAGACTAATTCATGTTGCTGTAGAAAAGTGAGGGAAACACTATTAAGAAATCACTCCAACTTAAGACAATATCTTTTTAATTATTATTAATTTTAATATATATTTACAGAGGTTTTGGATTTCCATTCATTCATTGCCACACTTTTCTCCCTGCCCACCGCTCCCCACCAGCTCGCTCCCCCCTCCGAAGAGAAAAACAAAAGAAAAAAAAATATTTCTTCATTAGTATACAATTCCTACATCCCTT